CGTTATTTAGGCTTACCTCAGGGGGGTTTTGGTAATTTGCCTTTTTTCTTTTATTTTTCACATATTTAACAGAAGGATATAATAGACATTTCACGTTTTCGGTTAAAAAAATTCGGTCAACCGTTAGTCAAGGGGGGTTTTCGTAATTACGAGAACATGGGGGGGATTTTCGTTATTTAGGCTTACCTCAGGGGGGTGTTTGTAATTTACCCTAATTTTAATGATAATATATTGGGCAAATTACCAAAACCCCCCTGAGGTAAGCCTAAATAACGAAAATCCCCCCCATGTTCTCGTAATTACGAAAACCCCCCTTGACTAACGGTTGACCGAATTTTTTTAACCGAAAACGTGAAATGTCTATTATATCCTTCTGTTAAATATGTGAAAAATAAAAGAAAAAAGGCAAATTACCAAAACCCCCCTGAGGTAAGCCTAAATAACGAAAATCCCCCCTGACATCCCTTTCAGTTGATGATTTATTGCTTTTATAAATTTATTTATTACTTTGTAATTTGTATTGATAATTTGATATTATAATTTTTTATTTTTTTTATTTATATATTTTAATTGATTTTATTTATCCAAAGGAGTATTCATACGGATTTATGCTTTTAGCTTGAATGATGCATGGTTGTATTTCTCAAATTGTAAAATATTTAATTTTATATATAAAAAATAATTAAATTTTGAAATCTCATTCATTGATTTTTTTTAATCCAATAAAAATACATTGTACATTCATAATGTTTGATTATATTTGGGTTTAATTTAAGAAAAATAAGTATTTTGCAGACACTTATATATTTTTTTATTTATATATTTTAATTGATTTTATTTATCCAGAGGAGTATTCATACGGATTTATGCTTTTAGCTTGAATGATGCATGGTTGTATTTCTCGAATTGTAAAATATTTAATTTTATATATAAAAAATAATTAAATTTTGAAATCTCATTCATTGATTTTTTTTAATCCAATAAAAATACATTGTACATTCATAATGATTGATTATATTGGGTTTAATTTAAGAAAAATAAGTATTTTGTACATTCATAATGACCCCTCATTAAATAAAATGCTTACAATTACCCCCCTAAGGGTAATTTCGTGTACAAGGGCAAAATTGGTATTATCGGAGGAATATTCGGGAGAATCAAAAAGATTCCATCGAGTCTAACACCGTTAGAGCAATTGGTAAGACGTCTGCATACCTCAGGGGGGTTTTCGTAATTACGAGAACATGGGGGGGATTTTCGTTATTTATGCTTACCTCAGGGGGGTTTTGGTAATTTGCCCATAATATATTTTATCATAAATGAATACTTTAATATGATTTACATTACAGCCTAGAGCTAAATTTACCGAATATACTTTGAGTAATTGTTGATTATCTGGTCAATAATAAAAACAAAAATATATAAAATGCTTGTAACATGACTATGTGAAATAGAAATAGTTATAACAAACATACAAATAGTTAAACATCCTCTCATAATTTTTAGGATAAACTGACCAATATAAAATTTTGGATAAATTACAACCACCGCCCTAAGATAAAATTAATTTACGAAAAAGGTACCTCGTTTTTAGAAATTGCATTCAGACCATTAGAGTTTGTAAATTTCCTACATTCACCCCTACAAATATGTATTAATGTAGGAAATCTTTAAACTGCAAGAGGATCGACGTAATTATGAAAAAAAATTAAGGATTTTTTCATAAATAGACCTCACCGCAAAAATTTCAACGTCTTCCTAGTCTAACGGTGTACCACATAGATCAATACACGTGGCGAAAATGGGGCATAGTCAAGAACAAAGTGTACCATAATTGTTTAAGTGACTCAAATACTATAAATACATATGCTCAATAACATGAAATATTCACACCACAACTACTAATTTTCAATTAAGTTTAAATATTTACTAATTACATTTTGCTTCACTTAATTAGAAATTATATTAATAAATAGAAATGGATAATTCCCAGGATATGAGCTACAAAGCTGGTGAAGCCAAGGGCCAAGCACAGGTTACCTTCATATATATATATATATATATATATATATATATATATATATATATATATATATATATATTAATAATTGTATATATAGTAAAGTTTGTGTATATATTGAGTGCAGGAAAAGGGTAGCCAAATGATGGAGAAGGCTGGTAATGCTGCACAATCTGCTAAGGAATCAATGCAAGAGGTAATCTTTTTCGAATAAAATAAAAAATAATAATAATAACAATAAATTAATTAATATTAGCGTATATATATGTATATATATTCATGAAGAATAATAATTAATTATGCTAAATTAACAATTATTATATAAATAATTTATTTATTTGTATTTTTAGGCAGGACAACAAATGCAGGCTAAGGCACAAGGTGCAGTGGACTCTGTGAAAGATGCAACAAACATGAACAAATGAGAGATTTTTCATTTTTCATTTTATTTTTTATTTTTCTATTTTATTTTTATTTATTTTTTCAGATTTTGATTTAGGCAATGTTTGGTTGCTTCAGTTTGGCAAAATAAAAAATAAAAAATGTCTGCCACGAAAGTCTGTACTTTTTTTGATCAAATAAATACATTTTGCCCTTATTTTGGTTAATTTAGATCTCATTATGTTTAGTTTCATCATTAGAAGAAAATTAAGTGGATCAAATAAAATAGCAAGTATGAATTACTATATAAAATAATTTAAACATTTTGAGAATAACATTGTTTATTTTGTGTTTTTAATTTTCTCATTTTAAAAGATTTCGATCCGAACACAACTTAAATGATATAAAATCTATGTAGCACGGACACGGAAAACGGCGATAGGGGAAAATGGTGAAACATATACGTGGGAAACGTATAAATATTAAAAGTATATAGGTGTATTTATAAATATGCTATATAAACATGTATAAGTTTATATATATATATATATATATATATATATATATATATATATATATATATATATATATATATATATAGAGAGAGAGAGAGAGAGAGAGAGAGAGAGAAACACATTCAAAATAAGTACTATTATTAACTATCAATTTGCAATTGATTATTAAATCATGTAATTAATTACTTGTACCGACAAAAATATTTGAAAATTCATCATTCAAACATGTGTCTAACTTTAGAAATTGCAAAATGACCGTTAAAGTGTTCGGCATGTGTCATCGAGTGTCGGACATGAAAAATACCCGAAACACGAATACGTTAAGAAGTTGAAGTTTTCATGCTATATAGCATAAAATCGATTAAGCGGTGAAATATAAACAAAATGGGATAATTAGCAAGAACCCCCTCATCTAGGTAAATGAGTTAAGAAAACACCCCATTCCAAAAATAATTAGAGAAAACCCCCTTACCTAACATTCCACCCAAGTGATATTTTCATAATTCCAAAACTACCCTTAATTATCTACTATACTCTTTCAAACCCTAATCTTATTTTCTCTTCTCTTCCGTCTCTTCTTTCCCCGTCCATTCTCTGTTTTTTTTTTCTCCATTTTATACTTTTCTCTCTCAATTCTTAGATTACTCTCTCTTGATCGGAAGATGAAGAACCAATCGGAACGGAACAACGATGCTAATTCCGTTGAAGCCATTGTCGTCGGTGCCGTCTCCTTCGTCGTCGCTGTCGAAGTCGGGGTCGGGGTCGTCGTCGGCAGATCTTAACAAAAGCCATAAATTGTCGATTTGTCATCGAAATCGAATTTTTGATGGGTGGTGGTTCTGATTTGGTTGGTGGTGCGAGTTGTGATTTTATTTATTTATTTGTAATTAAAAAACCATCATAATATCAAAGTAAGGTGATGATGGTGTGTTGTGACGGCGGTGTGGTGACGATGGGGAGGCAGATTTAGGGTTTTTTGGTGGATTGAACGGATGAAGGCGCGTGTAGAGAATTTCGCGCAGTTACCTTAATCGACTATGTACATGTTCATAGTCGATTAATCTAATCGACTATGCTCTGGTAGTCGATTAAGGTTCATCGACTCTAATTTTTTTTTATTTTTTTGGATTTTTTGTTTATTGCTTTCAATTGTATAAATCATTTATAATATTTGTATATTTTTTTGTTTTTGTAATATATAGTTGATTTTGTATTTTTTTCGCAGTTGTGATTTGTTATTTTTAGTAGCAGATTCTTAATCGACTATGCTTCACATCATAGTCGATTACTATACCTGATATAAAACAAAAATAAAAAAAAATAAAATAATTAAATAATTAAATAATTTCCTTAATCGACTATGAAGCATAGTCGATTAAGGCTAATCGACTATGCTTCATAGTCGATTAAGGAAACTGATACAGAAAAGACGGAAGAAAAAAAAAACGGAAAAAAAAAATAAATAAATAAAAATCGCTGAGCGTGACCCAGTGATGATGTGGCGGGTGGGGGCAAAGCTGGAAAGCATAATGGCTGAAAATGGGTGTAGACTTTTCTCAAATGGACTAAAATATTTTGGGCCTCCCTCAATTAAAAAAAATAGTGAGGGCCCCAAACAAAATTGATACAAAACTATCTTGTTATTATTTTGTTTTATTTTTTATTTCTATTTAAATGTGAACAAATTAGCCCGTTTCAATTGGAGAACAAATGGGTCGAATCGGTGCATACAGCTTACCCGGCCCACTAAAATTGGCCCAAGACTGTGTAACGAGTCATCCGGCTTTGTACAAATGGATTGGGCCATGGTCTTTTGTAATTAAAATATCTATTATTAATTAATTAAATGAACATTAATTTAATAAATCAATTGTTAATAATTAACAACATTGGCTTGTGGGGGTACATGAAAAGCCACCTGAGGTTTGTTGCTTCATAGCATTAAAGAAATCATCATTCCAAAATCTAGATCAAATCTCAAAATTCGATTTTCATTAATAAATAATGTGTTTTCTATCACAACTCTTATATATATATATATATATATATATATATATATATATGTGTGTGTGTGTGTGTGTGAGAGATGCGGGATCACTTGATATGAATAGTTCAAATGTCGAATTAGAGAATTAGTTTAGGAATACGGGTTCTAGGTATACGGCGCTAGTTCGTTTTTCATGCAAAACCATTTAACGCAGTATATGACACGCGAGGGAGTTCTCTAGCAATTACACTCCAAAGCTTAAGTCAGAGGATGCCGCGTGCTGATAATTAATCCAGTACTTGGAAGCAATTAAGTCAAACTCATGATTATAAATTTAATTTTATCCGAAACTTCCATATAAAAAGAATCATAATTAAACTTGTAGAAAAGCAATGAGAATATATCAACCCAATTTCCAAATTCCAAATTCCCTTTTCAATTAAGTCTTCATTATTTAATTCTAGATATTAATGTGTTCAAAAGCAAAAGTATTAATTACTTAATAAAGTGGATTAGTGGTGAGAGAGAGAGGCCAATTGACAAAATCTGGCTCTAACACTTTCTAATCTCAAGTACTCATTCATATTATCTCATACTAATCCTCCCAACTCAGGTTTCCACCACCTTTTAAACACACACATATATATATATATATATATATATATATATATATATATATATGGATAATTATAGTTACTTGAATTTGAAGAATTCATTAGTAAGCAGATTATAAATTCAATAAATTTCACCAGATATAGCATCTCGAATACGACCATGAATATTTACTTTGTGACCTCAATTTATTGTCCTTATTTCCAACTACTCCATGACTAAATCAAGATTGTTTGGTCACAAACACTCCACTAATTTGACTCAATTGTCCACTTTTACTTCTAATGCCTAACTAATCCATTAAAAACAAGTTTTTTTTTTTAATTAGTCACCTAAGAGAAAAAGTTTAAGAAGAATTAATACTTGTGGTGGCCTCATTACAATTAGATAACAATTAACAAAAAATAAATTGGAAAAGTTGAGAATAATTTTTGGGTCCCTTTTGTGCTTTAAAGAGTACACACATTGTCGATTTCATAATAACAACAATCAAAATCAAATTCAAGATGGTGAGAGTTTAATTTGTTATCGATCAGCAAATTAAACTATACGCGAGACGTAAGCTACACTACTCTAATCATGTGTAACAAGCTCGACCTAATGACCCGTTTGCAAGCGAAATCGAACATGAATCAATTTTATGAATTTATTAAATAAAGATTAAAGAATAGAGAAAAAAACTAATTATTACCTAAATTCGAACCCTAATTATTTCCATTCCATGAGAAAAGGATATACTTGAACAAAAAGAACACGTTTAATGGGTCCAGTGAGAATGAGTACTGAAGGCCATACTTAAACAAAGAAGTCCCTTAGCCTAACTACTTTTGTAAATTTAAATTAAAATGTCAAATTACCAAAATACCCTCACCTCGTTATTGTATTCAAAATATATTGAATTATTGATGAATTGTTGTATTACTTGCTACAAGAAAAAACAACATTTGTGATACCCTAATCGTGACAACAACAAAAATAATCACTAAAAGTTGTCGGTTAATCTGTTTTATTGTCAGTTATTCCGTTTTACTGTCACTTTACTACAGAGAAGTGACGATCATTATTTACTATTGAATTAGTGATTTATAGTGACAAAAAACACAGCATACAACATTTTTTGTCTAAGTAGTGACAATTCATTATGTTAGATTCATGTAAATGAGGATGTTGAACAAATATATATATATATATATGGCAAATTACGGCCACGCCCCTCAACTGTGTATTATCTTACGAAAAAACTTCTCCATAGGTGAATTTAGGGATGTTAAATCGGTAAAATTGAACCGAAATTTGGTTCGATAATAACTGCATTGCATAAATTTTATGTAAAAGTATTTAAAAGGAAGAGGTGGCTGTAATTATCCTAACAAGAAAAGTTTTTTCGTAATTTAACCATACCTCAACTATTTGCCCCTTTATATAATAAACCACCATCAAAATTGCCATTTGTATAGTCCACTATTGTATAGAGTAATATTGGCCAAAAAGAAAGGGTAAAATTGGAAACCTAGGTAGTAAATAAATAGAGAGACTTGCGAAGAAATCAATCCATAGAGAATCAGCATGAAAACAGCAAAGCAAAAGAAAAGAATCCCCACTTTTATATATATATATATATATAATATATATATATATATATATATATATATATATATATATATATATATATATATATATATATACAGACGCACAACACCATATCCTCATAAAACTGACAAGAAACTAGATATATATATATCTAGAGAGAGAGTATATATACATATAACTAATTAAGAGAGATGATCAGTCCAAGAATCCAACACCCGACCACCACCACCACCACGACGGCGGCGGCAGGTGGCGGCGGACTGCAGCGGTGGAATTCGCCGATACCGTACCTGTTCGGGGGTATAGCTCTGATGCTGGGAGCCATAGCTCTGGCATTAGTAATTCTGGCTTGCTCTTACAGAAATTCTTCCGCCACGTCATCATCTTCGGAATCGTCGAATGAGAAGTCGAAGAAACACGTGGACAGTTTACAGGCTGAAGCAGAACACAGAATAGTGGTGATCATGGCCGGAGAAACTAACCCCACCCATCTCGCTAAGCCAATCGCCGCCGCCGCCGCCAGGCGAATTGAAGAACAAGTTTGATACAACTTTTATTTATTTATTTATGGCATTTATTTATTTATTTTTTATTTTCATTTGAGTATCATAGGTTAGTGTATATACATGCTATTTTTGCTACCTATTTTAATTATATAGACATTAGAGTTTAGATAGGTTAATTATTTGTTTGGATTTTTTTTTTAATTATTTGTTGAGGAAATTGTAATTATATATATTAATATCATTATTTTTGTTTTCTATATCTTTATACTATAGAACAGAAAGTTCAAATTTGTACTTGTGAATATCAAAAAGAATTATGAGATTAGTCGATAAAATTATAATTTTGCTAATGGTCTTTGTTTACGAGATTAGTCGATGAAATTCGAGGCGTATTGGACATGTTAGAAAATATATTTAAATCTCTATAAATTAATACAGTCGAAATATTAATTTAACAATATAATTTGTACAACGTTGTCTTCAAATTGGGATCGAGAAAAAAATATCAATTTATCGAAATTTTACTGTAATTAAGTTGTTTGAAAATGGGAATTGTTTCCTTTAAAAAAAAAAGGGTAAATTACAAACACCCCCCTGAGGTATGACCAAATTACAAAAACACCCCTCTTGTTTGGATAATTCAACCACCCCCTCAACTCATCAAATTTAGTGGAATCTTCGAGATTATATGGAATATTATCACTTTTGTACCCGTTTTATCCCATTCAAACTCTACATTATGAAGCAAGATGACCATAATATGTGATTTTTAGCTTGTATATATCAGTTTGTGGTGCATCGGAAACTGTATTTTTTACACAAAGAGTACAAACTAGAGCACATTTCACGGAATCTAGATGACTATGTTGAATTTGGCACCATAAAGGTAAAAAAAAATCATAGTTGAGGGGGGTAGATGTAATTATTCAAACAAGAGGGGTTTTTTTTGTAATTTCACCATACCTCAGGGGGGTTTTTGTAATTTACCCAAAAAAAAACTAAAAAATGAAGAAGAGAATTGGCTTCAAAGTACAACCAATTAAATGCTGTATCCAATTATTAGTCTAAAGTAAGTTACAATTTTCTTACCAACTTTAGTGGAAGACATGATTAATTAATTAATTAATTAATTATAGCAATTTAAATTCTCCACAATTTAGATAGGTGGGGTCACCATGAAAGTGGATAATAGTTGACTTCAGTCTCCTCTTCTTAACATGAAAAACAAGGGTGTTTAGCTATATTTTGTTTTCTAAGTTGTTTTATGTATCTAAAAAGACAATTTTATAATTTAAAAAAGGTATATCCCTTTATTTATGGAAATTAAATTTGACTCAATTTGTTGATTAAATTAGTTATTGAATAAATTAACTACTATTGTGCGACTTCAATGTGAATGTAAACTATGTAGATGTGTGTAAAATGGATAGTTATCAATGCACGTGTATGATGATATCTTACTCGTCGAAGTTCACAAACTGTGAAACCAAATGAATAAATGATCCAAAATATGTCATATTAAATAGATAAGTTGGACACGATATCGATCTACCTAAAATATGTCTATCGATCTATACACGAATATAAATGTATCTAATTTTATGTTCGAATGAGTACTAATGATAAATTCGATACATTTCGTCTAAAAAGTAGTACGGAAATTTGGAGTCCACCTTCCCCATTACTCCCCTAGTTGTACAATTGGAACTCAAATACTGGGCATTAATCAAACTATTAATCAAGAATTTTCGATTAGAAAAGAATTGAAATGTTAAGCGTCGTTTTAATTTTACAAATATTGTTTTTAGGGTAAATTACAAACACCCCCCTAAGGTATGGTCAAATTACAAAAACACCCCTCTTGTTTGGATAATTACAACCATCCCCTCAACTCCTCAAATTTAGTGGAATCTTCGAGATTATATGGAATATTATCACTTTTGTACCCGTTTTATCTCATTCAAACTCTACATTATAAAACAAGATGATCAGAATATGTGATTTTTAACTGGTATATATCAGTTTGTGGTGCATCGGAAACTGTATTTTTACACAAAATGAGTACAAACTAGAGCACATTTCATGGAACCTAGATGATTATGTTGAATTTGGCACCATGGGGGTGGAGGTGTAAGAAAAAATCATAGTTGAGGGGGGTAGATGTAATTATCCAAACAAGAGGGGGATTTTTGTAATTTGACCATACCTCAGGGGGGTTTTTGTAATTTACCCTTGTTTTTATTTTGAACGTGGTTTTGACCATTTTTCTAGTCTGGTTTTAGCAAAATTCAAAACACGGAAACCGTAGTCATTTGAATTAGTTTTTTTTAATTCAACTTGAAACATCTAAATTGGACGTAGAATAACAAAGTTATGCATAGTTAAATTTTGAATTTCAGATAATCCAAAATATCAAAGTTGCAGGTTCTGTTCATTGCTTTATGCATATTTTTTTCACCTGGCATCCGATTTTGGTGGTTCAAATCGGATTACAAAGCTAACTAAAAAAACCACGAACTTAATACTTTGAGTTTTTCCAAATTTAAATTGAAAAATGATCAAAATCACGTACAAAGTCGAAACAGTATTATTAAAACTAAAACGACATGTATCGCATCCAAAAACCAACTATTTAGCAAGAAGCTTCCTTATATTCTTGTGTAGGTGGACGCAGCGGCTCGTGCACGCAATGATTCAATGATGACTATGGAGAAATAGAATTTTAATTTATTAAAAAAGGGTTTTTCATTTTTATTTTGGTTAAATATATAATGAATAAATGGTTAATGGGAGACAAAATTGCAATATTAATAGTGGTATTCATCATTCAATACCAAGTCCAAGTGCCCTTTATCTGTTGGCAACATTTTAACTTGGCGGACACAAAAAATCTTTTATGGTATATTCCGGCGGCGGATTTGCTCCACTTCCGATCGGCACCACCTGGTTAGCACTACATGTAAATATCCTGTATGCTACAAGATATTTACAGCACATCAACTTTGCCCACGTGGAAAATGAGATAAATTTATTTCAACCCAAATATTATTTACAACATTAAATGTCAGCTTTTTTATGACAAAATGTGAAGCAAAATTAGAGGTCATTCATTACAATTAGTGTGTAATTAGTCAGACATGAGAGGGGTATTTTCGTAATTTGACCTTACCTCAGGGTGTGGCCGTAATTTACCCTCGATTTATTTCGGACATAAAAAAAATGGGAAGTGTTAGACGCATCGAACATGCAGTCTAATAATACATGGATATCATTAATAGTAGAATCGAAGGTGCAATCTTGGAACGAAACCAATTTTCAGTAGCTAAAAGATTTACCAAAATACCGAATCGACGTGGGATTTTCACATAACTAACCAAAGTAGAATATAACGGCAAGCTCAAAAACGGGATCAAGAACCTTTCAAGAGAGCAAAGATAGTAACCCTCCCACTCTCTATTTCCGAGTCATTATGCCTACCCTCTACAAAAGAATATATTCGTGTATACAAAAAAAAGACGATGTCTCGATTTTAGGCCAATCCCGTAGTAACAAGAAAGCAAATAACATTAGAACAATCTAGAACCTTCCTTATGAAAGTTAAACCGACTTACATCGAATTGAAAAGTGTTCCTTTTACATGCCGAAATTGCACATCTGCACGAATTCCATTTCATTGTCGACGTACTTTGTCCAGAGATGCTTGTAGCGGTTCATAGCAATATCCAGCCAAGGTTTCATATCGCCGCTGAAATGGATAACCGCAGCCTTGTCGATCTCTTCCATGCTGATGCTGGGGTTTATTCCAAGCCCCTGCACATGCCATGCTTTGTCCAATGACTTCGTTGTTGAGTAAAAAGTTACGAGTCCAGCTGGCAGTGTACCCATTTTCCATAATGTACGGTCCTCGTTCTGCATCATTCGTTAAAAAATAAAAAAGATATTTTATTAGCGAATCTAATTTGTATGTGCAATGCATGTATGTGTATCAGTGTGTGTAGGGGTGAAATTGGAATGGAATTTCCAATTTTGGAACAATATCTTTTATTCCGAATTCCGGAAATTCCAATTCCATTTTTTTTTTGGTAGGAAATTGGAATGTACATGAAATTTGGATTTTCAAATAAATTCCGAAAATTCCGATTTTTTTTTTTCTGAAAATAACACTATTAATCATTATTATTATGCATTTTATGCTCTAGGTGACTGAAAAATTGAAAAATTGAAAATTTTCGCACTCCACCGATTCCTATCCAAAAATCTCCAATTTTGGGACAAGTTTGTTCATTCCGATTTCTGTTTCTTTTTCAGCCAAATTGGAATTAGTCGTCACTTCTGAAAAAAATGGAATTATCTCAAAGTACGAATTCCAATCCAATCCGTCCAATTTCCACCTCTAAGTGTGTGTGTGTGTGTGTGTGTGTGTGTGTGAATGCGTGCACATATGAAGAATTATAGAACCAAATAAAGGTAGTAAAACATAAAGCTTACCAAATTCTGCCAATAATGATATTGGTCGGTGGATTTTTCCAGCCGCCAAGCATCAAGGTCAAACATATTCATGCCGAAAGCCCATGCACAAGCCCTCGGATTAAACTTCTCCTTGATGAGAGGGTGAGAAAAGTTTAAATATTCAGAAAAGCGATGGAACGACCCAAAGCAGGTATTGACAGCTCCGTTAACTTTTCCATCCATATCGATTTTCCAGAGGGCGGTCAAATCTTTCTGAACTACTACATCATCGTCCAGAAACAAAATCTTCTGCAGGTTAGGGTAAAGTTCAGGCAGGTAGAATCGGAGGTGGTTGAGCATGGATAAATACTTGGGATTTCTAAATTTCATGCTGTTCACATCTTTAGTAGTGTTCTCTGCCCTTGTTTCGAAGTAGAATTTCTGCAAGTTTGTGGACTTAATTTGTTTCAAGACCGGTGCGTACGACGCACTCAAGAACTTGAAATTATCCACCGCCTTGATCTCGATGTGGGCCCCACCTTGTATCGGCCTCATCTTGAACCAAACTTTGGTGGCAGCAAAATTCATCCTGTCAGTAACAATATGGAAAACGTGCTTGTACGGCTCCTCTGCATTCTTAACAACCGAGTTAACAACCACAGAGATTGCAATCACGTTGTCTGAAAATAACGCGTAATGATACAAAGTGGGGTCCTCAAATTCAGGCTTTGGCTCGTCATCCACGTATTTCTCTGGATGCGCAATTCTCTCCTCCATAAGCCGCATCGCAAGGCAATGCAGACTCTTGGGGGTTGACTTTGCAGCGATCGAGCTGGCAAATGCACCGTTCTTCTTGGCCTTCAAAAGCAACTCGTTGACAGCGAAAATCGTGTCTTTCAATTTCTGTATCTTTAACTGGTTGTCGTACGACTCTTTAGACTCTGCTATCATTAGCCTAGCAATCTTAACTTTGTCTTTGACCTCCTTCTCGAACTGCCTCAACACATCCTCGTCAACCGGCCCGTTGGCTTCAAACAACGCGGCACGATAGGTCTGCCTCAATTGAAGGTCCGAGAAATTCGAAGCCAAATCATCAAACATTTTCAGCTGCTTAGATATCTCGAGTTTCAGCTTCCTCGCATATGTAGCGTACGCATTAACTAACGCAATGTGATTATTTGCCTGATTGTATATCATATCTAACCTAGTCTTCAGCGGATCCGACTGCCATGCTAGAAAAGTTCTCCGTACATGTGTATTTCCTGTAGTATCCATAACCTGTTCATAGTTGGGAAAATCACGGAAAAGTACCGTAAGTTCATATCAAGCTGTTTACATTAAATTTCCAACAAAGCAGCAATATAACAGTCGAGTAATAATCGCATCAAAACAAACTATATGCCGATTAAACAAGAAAAACCCATCTTGAAACATAGGATGTTTGCCACTGCTAGAAATCAAATGTAGATTACATTCTACCCAGGAAATTAAGTTCACACAAAATGGATTCGACACGGAATTGGTGTTTACCAAAAATTCATAAACAAATGCAGAGTACATCTGTTTCAATTTCGTAAAAAAATAAAAAAAGGGGGAGATTTTTCTCAGACATTCTAATTCAAATTCTCGAAGTAAACAAAACCGCGAAGCAATCTAAAAAATTCAGAAGACTGGGAACACTAAATTAAACATAAATACGCACAGAGTTCCGTAGCTAAAGAGTAAAAAAAAAAAAAAAAGACGCATTGAAAGAGGAGATTTTTGAGTGCTTACGGCATCGTTGTGTGACTGGTGAGAGGAGAGCAGAACTGAGAGAGTAGCAAGGAAGAGGAGGGTGAACATAGCCGAAACGAAGATCTTGTAGCTGAAGAAGCTCCGGATCACGGATCCGCCTCCCGATCCGACCCGACCGCCCCGGACCGCCACCGCCATCACGATCGCCCCAGGACAAATCCGTAATTACTGCAGTTTCTCAAATCACGAACCCTAAATCAATTCCCAATCTCTTCGAGTGCTGCTACAAATCAAGGTCTCGATTCAACACACACAAAATACGAAAATGTGGTGGATTTGTGCGTTGTGTGTGGGGTCTCCGAGCAGGGATATAGATACGTGAATTTGTATGTATTGTTAGCCGGAGTAGTGCGTGTGTGTGTGTGTGTGTGTGTACGGAGAGGAGTTGAGATCTGAGAGTGAAGCTTCGAGGTGTAGAAGAAAATGGAGATATTTACGGGTCCGACCCGCGTCGGCGTCGGTGTGTGTTTTTTTTTTTATTTATTTATTTATTATTATCTGATGTGAAAGAGTTTTCCGATAGGGAATCTGTTAAAAGTTAACCTCTTCAATTTTCTTTATTTACATTTTTCACCCTAATTGTAAATAGGTCAAATTACGAAAAAGCCCCTTATGTTTGGGTAATTACAACCACCCCTCTCAACTATAAATCTTCTTACACGTCACCCTTGCGGTGTTTAATTTAGTGGAATTTTCAAGATTATATGGGATATTTTCAATTTTGTACACGTTTTATCCCATTTGAGCTCCATGTTTTTAAGCAAGATGGTCATAAGATGTGTTTTTTGGCTTGTATATATCAGATTGTGGTGCATTAAAAACTGCATTTTGCACCAAACGAGTACAAACTACAGAACATTCCACGGAATCTAGAAGATTATGTTGAATTTGACACCATAAGGGTGGACGTGTAAGAAGATTCATGGTTGAGGAGGTAATTGTAATTATCCAAACATGAGGGATTTTTCGTAATTTGACCATACCTCAAGGGTGATTGTAATTTACCCTTTTCTTCTTGTGTGTGTTTTTTGATAGATCCCCTTGAAAATTTATCATTGATTCTAGGGGCAATTGGAGAAAATTAGGGGTATTCGAACCAAAAATCTGGTATTCGATAAAGATTTTTTAAAATTTTGATATTCGATACAATATACGGTATTGATGTCCGGTACAATATACTTGTGCCCGGTAGGGCAAAAGTATATATTTTTTCATAAGTTTATTTGTGAAAAGTCCCTCGTCTTTTCAAATGCAACAATTCAAGCACTGAATTGCCTTTTTTTTCGAACCAATTAAGTCAAAATAGGTCGAATCAATTGATTTAAATCACTTGACTCAATTGTATACCAGTTAACTTATTTTATTGTAATTCACTCGATTCAACTAATTTTAATAGGTTAACTTGACACGGAAGGCACATAAAAGGGGGATATATAGAGATAATTATCTGATTTATTAAGAGCGAATTGATAAAATCATAAAATATAATAAAAATAAAAATTAGGTTGCTTGTTGAAGAACTTTTCACCCCTTAATTCTAAATAGTTTTACAAAACAAATAATATTTGTTGTAAAATAAAATACTCTATTTTTTTTAATTTTTTTTATATGTTATACATTTAGTTTGTATGGATAGAAGATTTATAAATTCAAGAAAACGTATCACATCATAATTAGTATCTAAGTAGCATTAAATTTGTTCATGACCATAGTGTTATGAAATAGTACTAGGCAGGGTTGGGCCAAGCCCTTGTGTTTTCATAGTGTTTTCTTTATTTAAGGGCTTAAAATGGCCCAATTTAATCACTTGGTCCAATAGACCACCTCACTTCTCAACCGGACGGTCGTCTGAGTTTCCAGGTCATTTTCCAGCCGGCCGTCCGAAACCCCTCCTTGGTGTACTTCGGCCTTTTCTCAATTTTTTTCCCATTTTTATCCATTTTTTGACCGTTTTGTCTTTCGATTTCCCAACATGCACCTAAAACACATAAAACAAGTCATTGAACACCATATAATCGATTAAATCTACAAAAAATCACGTAAGAGAATGTAATTTGAGTGTAAACACTCAACAATGGACACGAAAAAAATTTATACCCAATTTTACCACAATAATTGCAAGTATTAGATGATAATTCGGAATGAACGGTTGTTCTAGTATAATAATCCATCGGTCATAACGTACTGAAATTAGGAATTCTTGCATACGGTTCATCCAAGTAGAATATGTAGTTCCACCAAAAAGTAGTGACATATTACGAGATTGCCCCTCTGCAAAAACATTATGAGATTGCCCCTCTATCAGTTGTCATAAAATCAATCGGTATAAGAAAAATGCGCAAACTTCTGGCCTTATAGTGCATTAAACACACACAAACTATCACATCATTTAATTGTAGGCTGCCATTATCAAATCTTCCCCATGTAGACAATTACTAACAAACTCAGATTAACACAGTCACATTATCGATTTAATTTTTTTAATTTAACTTAGTAAGTTTACTTGAATTGAGAAAATAACACTAAAATCAGCATCTTTCAATGTGAAAGAAAAACAAAAATTACATCAAACCAAAAAGGCCCCTTTGCTAGTATTTTTCACGATCCATATTCCATGGTACCATTTCATTTTTTCCAATTTTGTGTACTAGAAATATAAATATCCAAACTTAAAAGCATTCAACGTAGATATCAGAATCTTTCAGGGCCGAAATGAAAATATTATAAGAAAAAGAAATGGCAAAGTTTATGAGCTAAAGATGAACGTAAAAACGTTTTTCTACTCTGGAGACGTTTTCCGCGCGAAATTTCAGTTCAACTCCGGAAATTTCGAAAGTTTTTCCGTTCAGATTCAAAGATCCTCCGATTCCAAACTCTAAACGCCGTTTCTCCTACAATTCCGTTTAGATGTGGTTGGCGTTGTTTATTACGTTTCGACGGTGAGAATTGTAATCGTGTTAACTTCACAGTGCTGTTCAAAATTTGTTTTTTTCGTTAACACTTTAAATAGTGTCAAATGGATAGCTAGAGGTATAATCAAGTGAGGGATCAAGTACCAAGCCACACGCGCGCCGCCGCCGCCCGCCCGGACCGAGACCGAGTGTTAAGTGTATATTTTTACACTTTATCGTAACTTTTTATTTGAGCTTTTGGTGTGTTTTAACGATAATTGGTGCTTAAAAAGTTGATTTATTGTATTTTAGGTACAAATTGAAGAATTGGAAAAGTATGGGGTCAAAACTGCAATTTTGGCGAAAATATGGGTCAAAAGTGAAAATATCAAAATTCTGAAGAAACAAGGCTCGGACCCCCGTCCCAGTTTTAGGGCAAATTATGGGACCCCCGTCCCATACCCCGAAATTGCGCAGTAAAGGGATTTTAATCGCACAAGGAAACTGCCTTCTTCCCCAAGTTCTTCACCCTATATAAGACCATTCCAAGCACACAATTATCCATCTTTTTACGCAATTTCAAGAGCAACAAAGCAATAACGAAGACGAAGAATACGAAGACTTCGAGCAAAGATTTATCGTCTATGATTTATATTATTTGCGTTTTTGATTTAATCATGAGTAGCTAAACTACTTATTTCTAGGATTTTATTTGGAACCCTATGTGGGATTTATGAACCCAATTCTATGATTTTATGCAAGTTTTAATTCCGGATTATTTCTTCTACTTGTTTTATTAAGTGCATGAACTTGATCAACTTATGTGCTTTTATGTTATTGTTAATCGCATGAATCGGAAGATCGGGTTAATAATTAGAACTGTGGTAGAAGAGCCTTTGTGGTATTAACATAGGAATATAGTTAATCTCTTAGGTAGCCATTATTGAGATTTGTGCTTAATGCTGTGTTCTAGAATTAATTGCATAGGAATATAGTAATTGAATCTAGAGTATTAGAATCGTAATACACGCGGAAGCGGGTTATGATTATTTTAGCATCTCAGGTTAATAATCCGGGTTAATAACTTGCATAATTGAAGGAATTGGGGGAATAATAATCACATAGGGGGAAGAATAAAATCCTAGGCTTGTTTACTTTGATTAAATCTTCGCTTTCTTGTTTTTGTCGTTTTAATTGCTTTAGTTTAATTTAGTTTATTAATCATCTTTCGACTGTGTAGGGTGGGCTTGATAATAATTGGTAGAATTTAGCGTCTAGGGTTAGATAATTAAATATTCCCTGTGGGTTCGATATCCGGACTTAATTGTCCACTATATTACTTGTACGATACGTGCACTTGCGTGTAGGTTTTCGACCAACAAGTTTTTGGCGCCGTTGCCGGGGAATATTTTAATTATTTATTTTATTCTAGCTCTAGATTTGAACAATTTTCACGATTCACCCATTTAATTTTTGTTTTATTTTTTTTAGGTACTGTGTATGCGTAGAAGACTCGATCTTGCTAGAGAACCGTTTGATCCCGAAATCGAACGTACTTTTCGAGCGGCTAGGAGACTTCAACGCGAAAACAATACAATGGAGGACGAAGAACGCAGACGGGCCGCGGGCAATTTACTCGAGGCCAACGGAAACCAAGTCCAAGACCCACCCCCTCAAATTCCAGCACAGCCGGCAGTTCGTCCACGAGCACTTCAAGACTACATAATCCCAACTCTAGACGGATTCCGCCCGAGCATCCAATATCCACCCATTGAGGCGCACAATTTTGAGATCAAGCAAGGCCTTTTGACGATGCTCCAAAATAACGGGCTATTTAGTGGGTTGGCAGGTGAAGATCCCCATCTTCACATTGTCAATTTTCTAGATACCTGTAATTCTCACCGTCAAAACGGCGTTTCCCAAGAGGCGCTACAATTAATCCTCTTCAAGCACTCCTTACAAGGAAGAGCTCGCCAGTGGTTGATGTCCCAAGCCCCCCACTCTATCTCGTCGTGGCCTCAACTCCTCAACCTTTTCATGAAAGTCTATAGCTCACCCGAGAAGGACGAGAGAATCCGACGAGAAATTCACAATTTTGTCCAAGAGCAAGGCGAGCAATTATACGAGGCATGGGAGAGATTTAAAACCCTTTTGAGGCAGTGTCCAACACATGGAGTCGAACAATGGCGGCAAATCCACATCTTCTACCAAGGGATCAACGAGAATGCACGAACCGTTTTAGATGCCTCAACCGGGGGTAATTTTATGAGTCAATCGATACCGGATGCATTTATCATGTTGGATCAAATTGCACAAAATCGGTTTGCCAAGTCAAGCGAAAGGACGGTTAGTGGAGCCAAGAAAGTTCCCGGAGTGTTGGAGTTAGATGCAATTACGGCCCTTCAAGCTCAAGTGACCCAAATTGCTCAACAAAATCAACTCCTTCTACAGCACATCAAAGCAAGTCCACCACAACAAGTCCAAGCAATTGATTCTCCATGTTGTGAAATTTGCGGTGGAAATCACTACACACTCCAATGCCAACAAGATGTGGAGTCGCTCAACTACGTCAACAACGCGCCTCGCCAATTCCAAAATCAAGGGTGGAGATC